CAAGGATGGCATAGAGGTGGGGTCACCCAGCTATGGGTGTGGGAGGGAGGTCTGGCCTTCTCCTTTGGTAGGTGGGCATTTCCTGTCCCTCTAGTGGTGGGCATGGGCTTGGCCTTTCTGCAGGGCAGTCCCCAGACTCTGGGGCCTCCCCTAGATGACTGAGGGACAGGTCAAGACCAATGCCTGAGGCCTCAGGCCTGCACTGAGTGGGGCATGTCAGGCTCTGGCTACATCCTCAGAAGCTACTGACCATGATGCCCACGGAGGAAGAGCAGCAGAAGATTGAGGAAGCCCAGCTGGCCAACCCTGACATACCCCTGGGCCCAGCCGAGAACTTCCTGATGACTCTTGCCTCCATTGGCGGCCTCGCTGCTCGTCTACAACTCTGGGCCTTCAAGCTGGACTATGACAGCATGGAACGGGTACCTGGGTCTTGGAGTGGGACAGACAGTAGGGACAGGTAAGTATCATGACCACGTAGTCTAAGAGTCCCTGGTCTCCCATACCAGGAAATTGCTGAGCCACTGTTTGACCTGAAAGTGGGTATGGAACAGCTGGTACAGAATGCCACCTTCCGCTGCATCCTGGCTACCCTCCTAGCTGTGGGCAACTTCCTCAATGGCTCCCAGGTGAGTGAGAATACATGGGGACTAGGGGGAGTCAGGGTTCTGGAGCCAACCAGGCCCAGGCTCAGAAAGGGTCCTTTCAGAGCAGCGGCTTTGAGCTGAGCTACCTGGAGAAGGTGTCAGAGGTGAAAGACACGGTGCGCCGACAGTCACTGCTACACCATCTCTGCTCCCTAGTGCTCCAGACTCGGCCTGAGTCCTCCGACCTCTATTCAGAAATCCCTGCCCTGACCCGCTGTGCCAAGGTTAGCACCTGCCAGAATCAACCAAGGCTGGACGAGGCATGAGAAGCGCTGCTTCCTGGGCCTGGCTCCTCTCTCTTCTCCCTATCTGGGCTGCTATGCCAGGGCTTCCTCCAGCCACCTGGGTGTGAGCTATGCCTTCTGCCAGAAATGCTCTTTCCTCTATTGGCCTGGCCACACCTACCCAGTCTTTGGGTCTGTTGAACTGCCACTTCCCCCAATAAACCTTCTGTTCCTCATTCAAATCAAATGGACTTGTGTCTCTTGCACTAGTCTATGAGCTTTTGAATGTCTGTGTCCTCAGGGCCCAAGCTGGCCAGTCTGGCTCAGAGGCAGCCTCAGGCCGTGTCTTATCTACAGGGTGTTGGGGGACAGTATGTACACCCCCTTGCTTTCTCAGGTGGACTTTGAACAGCTGACTGAGAACCTGGGGCAGCTGGAGCGCCGGAGCTGGGCAGCTGAGGAGAGCCTGCGGAGCTTGGCCAAGCATGAGCTCGCCCTAGCCCTGCGTGCCCGCCTCACCCACTTCCTGGCCCAGCGTGCCCGCCGTGTTGCCATGCTGAGGATAGTGCACCGCCGTGTCTGTAATAGGTAGGGGCATGGACCCAAGAGAGGCAGGACGGCCACCACCCTCCCTCAGACAACAAGCAGGACTCACCGTCCCTCCCCACTCTGACCTGCCTAGGTTCCATGCCTTCCTGCTTTACCTGGGCTACACCCCGCAGGCGGCCCGTGAAGTTCGCATCACGCAGTTCTGCCACACACTGCGGGAATTTGCGCTTGAGTATCGGACTTGCCGGGAACGAGTACTACAGCAGCAGCAGAAGCGGGCCACATACCGTGAGCGTAACAAGACCCGGGGACGCATGATCACTGAGGTGGGTGCCCTTCCAGGTCTTAGTCTTCACTGCCACCTCCTTGGTTTCCTTCACTCCTCCCAGCTCACCCTTCTTCTTTCTTCAGACAGAGAAGTTCTCAGGTGTGGCTGGGGAAGCCCCCAATAACCCCTCTGTCCCAGTAGCAGTGAGCAGTGGGCCAGGCCGGGGAGATGCTGACAGTCATGCTAGTATGAAGAGTCTGCTGACCAGCAGGCCTGAGGACACCACACACAATCGCCGCAGCAGAGGTGAGGCTCATAGCTGCTGTGGGGAATGGGCTCCAGGGCCACCTTGGCCTGACCTTCCTATCTGGCCTCCCTCAGGCATGGTCCAGAGCAGCTCCCCAGTCATGCCCACCGTGGGGCCCTCCACTGTACCCCCAGAAGAACCCCCAGGCTCCAGTTTACCCAGTGATACATCAGATGAGATCATGGACCTTCTGGTGCAGTCAGTGACCAAGAGCAGTCCTCGTGCCTTAGCTGCTAGGGAACGCAAGCGTTCCCGCGGCAACCGCAAGTCTTGTAAGTAACCCCCCACAACCCCGCTGCCCACCTGAACCCCATCAACTCCCTCCAACCCTATTGTGTCCCTGCAGTGAGACGGACGTTAAAGAGTGGGCTCGGAGATGACCTGGTGCAGGCACTGGGACTAAGCAAGGGTCCTGGCCTGGAGGTGTGAAGGTGCTGCATCCCGGAAATCTATCTGGACCCTGGACTGCAGTGCAAGAGATGATAGAATGAGGAAGGCCCAGAGCAGAATTCTGGCCCCAGAACTCTGTGCCCAGGAGCCATGCCTTAAGCAGTATTAGCTGTGTGTGTGTGCATGTAAGTGTGTGTGTGTACGTGCATGTGCATGTGTGTGAGCTCCTTGAACTCACAGAGCAAAATAAAATTTTCTTAGCTAATCCAAGGCTTTCTCTTCTTTCAGGGTCCCCACTAGGCTGGGTCTGTAGCAGGAGGGAAATCCCATAGGACCGGCTTTTCCTGCTTCATCCCTCATCACCCACACAGCCATCAGCCACACTCTAAGCCATTTATTCAACGACCCTATAAAGTATACCCAATACCTCAGACTGCTTTTGGCCCCTAGACTAGACCCTCACTGCTCCAGGCATGGGGGGCCGTGCACCTTGACAGAGTCAACCAGGGCCAGTGGCCTGTGGTCACAATGTCAATGGCTATAACCGCTTCATCTGCCGCCGCTCCTGTCGGCGCTGCCGTTTCTCATTGTGCTCTGGTGCTGGGGTGCCACTGTCTGCAGTGAACCAGGGGCCCAGCACATTCACCCACAGGAGGTAAAGGGCCCGGCCTGGAGCCTACAAGAGAAACGGTAACTTGAAGCAGAGAATAAAAGATGGGGAGGGTTAGATGCCCCTTCTTGGGAGCGTCCCCAGCCCACGTACCAGAAGCCAGAAGGACCAGACATAGAGAGAGAAGCAGCTGAGCACCTGCACAATGGCTGTCAGTAGGATCACATCCTTAAGGTGCCTGTGGATAGAAATAAAGCTGCCAAAGACAGCAGATGGGCCCCAGTTCAACTCCCTTCCACCCTTTTCAAGTTGCAAGTAGCTGTGCTTCTTGGGCTATCTGGGCCCCAGCCCTGGGGCCGCTCACCTGGGCTGGCGGTGGGGGACACTCACTCTGCCATGCCCTGCTCCATGTTGAGGTCCATGCCACCATCCATCAGGGCCCCATCCTCAGAGAACGCTGCCCGTGCCATCGAGCTCATAGAGTGATAGCTGGCCCCATACACTGCCAGACTAAAGCCCAGGGCCAACTGCAGAGCAAGAATGAGGGTATCAAAGGTCAGCCACTGACCCTATGCACTCATCCACCTCCCAGGATGGAGATACTTACCCAGGCCCAAAATGAGGCAGATGAGTAAAAGAAGACCAATGTCACAAGACAGTAGATGGCCTGCAAGCAATCACAGGATCAGGTTGGGGTCAGAAGGTACCTCCAAACCATGGGTCTCCCTCAACTCTGACCAAGAATTAGGCCAGGCTGTGGGATGAGCAAGGTTGTTCTTACAGGGCTGAAGAAAGGGCCCTGCTCCCTGAATCCCAAATATCCAGACTCTCCTCTAACATGCAACTCAGCCCAGGAAAGAAGCCTTTGTGTGCTTGGAGGTAGGAAGGGCTCTTAAATTCAGCTACGACTCACACCTTCATTTTCTTTGTGTTTTACTAGTCAGTACTTTCTCTGTGCCCAGATCTCTCATTTCTTTTTGACTGGACCTCTCTTCTACAGCTTTTTCGGGTACCACTACTTCTCACCAAGCAGTGCTGAGGACTAGGGGACTGACTATAAGCTGGCATTGAAGCAAGGAGGCAGGCACTTACATTGGCCCCCAGTATGATCCTCAGGTAGAACTTCAGGGTCTCTTTGTTCTCTTCAAATATCTGCTTCTTCCCTCTCGTGCCCACTTTGCCCTTGGGCTGCAGAGGGATGACGAGATGACGTCAGGAGGCCACGGTCCTCCTCATTCTCCCCACCAGCCCGGTTAGCTATAGAGCTCCAGCCGCAACTCAGCCAGGTCCCCGTAGTGCTGAAACCTAGCACAATCCCTGGGATGTCCACCCATCCTCCAGTCCATCCTATCTAGGGGCTGACGCCCTCTCTCCAGCACCCACAGCTAGGATCGCCTCCTGCTCGCCCTGGAATAATTCAACCCTAAGCTAATACCGCCTCTGGATCCCGTGGTAGTCTAGCTTTAGGCAACGACTCTTCCAAGGGTACTCCTGGGCGGAGTAGAATGATGCCTCCCTCAGGCCTCCGCTGGCGTAGTCCCGATCTGGGCTAACGCCCATCTCAGGTCACTTATATCTCTGGCCTGCTCTGGTACTGACGCCCAAGCCGCTCCGGCACTAGTCCTGGTATGGTCCTGCGCCGCCCTCCCCCAGCCCAGTTCTAGTACGGTCTGGCCAGGGGATGGTGCCCCCCTCCGGCCCACCCCGTATCCCTTAATGTCCTTTCTCAGTTTTCACTCTCACAACCCCTGGAGAGCTTGGCTGGTGCGGACTCCGCCCTACACATCCTCCTTACCGCCATGGTGCGAGGCAAATACCCAGCCCAGGGAACAAGGGAGAGCGACCGAAACCGCAATCACTGAGCACCACATCGGCAGCACATGTACTTCCGGCGCAGACCAAAGTGGTCAGATTCTGGGACGGAAATAGGGCTCACTTCCTTCCCAAACCCCTCCCCAAAGGGGCGAGACTACACTTCCCAGAAAGCCTTGCGCGGGGGGGGGGCGGAGGCGGCAGGGATGCGATGGCGGAGTCGCTGCCCCTGGAGGTGAGAGGAAGCCGCCCTCAGGCCTAGCTCCGGACAGGCCCCGCCCTCGGGGTCCCGAGCTTTGGGGAGGGGCTGTCAGATAGCTAGCCCGGCCCCTCCAGCCTGGCGGAAACGACCTGCCCTCCCGATCCCGCGACCTTCTAGTTCTGGGTAACGGCTACTCCTTTGGGCCACTCTGTCCCTTTAGCTTGAGGGACCGTCCTCCCCTTCCCTATCGGCCCCAGGAGATAGCTGCCCTGTCACCTCAGCAAGAACAGGCCCTCTACCCATCTCCTTCCCTTGAGGTGGCTGTCTCCTCCCCGCTCAGTTCTGGAAGATGTCCGCTCCATCTCATCGTCCCGAAGGGTAACTGATCTTATCCCCATTGGTCCCTTGGGATGATCTCTCCATTTCCTACGCCCCGACAGAGACGGCCGCCCCCTCTCCCTGGCAGTGGGAAACAGACTGCTCCCTACCTATCAACTGCAATGATCTCTGAATTCCTTTAGCAAGGATAGGCCTGTTCCCCATTCCTAGGCCCCTAGTGATGGCCGCCTTTACCTCTTTCACTCCATGGAATGTTTGCTCCTTCCCCTTAGCCAGGGGCAAGACCACTCTGCCCCATCTGCCGAGGAGATAACAGGTTTTGTCTTCAGTGGCCTGTTGGAATGGCTTCTCCATCTCTTTTGTCCTGAAGGTTGGCAGCCCCCTCTCTCTGCCCATGGGAAACGGGCCACCCTTTCCCACCGGTCCTGGAATGATGCTCCCTATCCTTAGCAAAAATAGGGCTGTTCCCACCCCCTTTAGCTTGCAGTGCTATTCCTTTCCCCCTTAGCTTTAGGGGCTATTTCCATCCCCATAGACCCCATGAGTGACTAGTCATTATCTCCAGTAGCCCCCTTGAGATGGGACTCATGGGATGGCCACTCCATCCTCATCACTGCCTCCTCTCATCCCTCTAGAAAGGCCACCCTCTTCTTAGGTCAATGAATTGTGTCCCTCCCCCACTCACCCCAAGGGATGACAGGTTTGTTCCCCTCTCCCTTTGCTCTTGGGCTGGCTGCTTAGCCCCAGAAGACAAGATGGCCACTGTCTTAACTCAGCTCAAACAGGCTTCCCTGCCTCCCTGGAGGGATTGGGACATGGTCAGTCCCAGTCCCCATCAATACTGTCTTCCCTATGCCTAGCCTCCCTGGCTCAGAATTCTATTCTCCCAGTCATTGTCCTCTCAGTAATGACTACTTTTATTTCCCTGACCCCTTCCCTGAGCATACTCTTGGTGAAAATAGAGGTAGAGGACTGGACTGCCCAACCTTAATTTAATCCAGTAAGCACTGGCTGAGCACTGTGCCTGCGTGCTTGGCATCTGAGAAGGGAAGGAGAGATCACAATGGGTTGGTGAAGTCAAGCTTCAGGAAGGGGATCCCAGGGAAAAGGCCCGCATAGGCAAAAGGAAATAGACATGTTATGTTTGTAGGGCAGTAGGGAGACTGGATTGGGGAAGTTTGGGGACCAGCGAGTCCAATCAGGCACAGAGACCTGGCAGTGCTGATCCAGGAGTGAAGACTGTCCTGAGAGTACTGGTGAACCCTGAAATTTTACAGCAGGGGTGAGCTGACACTGAAAACTGTTTTATAGGAAAAATTAACCTTGTGACAGTGTGCATAATGTATTAGCAAGGATGAACTTGGAGGTAAAGAGTTCAGGTGGGACATTGTGGAAGGAATCAAGGTTTGAGGTGGTAGAAATCTGAGCTACTGAGGTGGGAAAGTTGCAAAAGTAGAAATTTTAGTAACAGCAATCCAGCAACCATTTATGGAACATCTAATTGTCACACACACACTATATATATGTAAAATTTAATCCCCATGAGGCTATGATCTAGATTTTTAAAAAGTATCCCTATTTTATAGATATAGAAACAAACTCAGACAGGTCAAATACCTTGTTTAAGGTCACACAGCAGCATGACAGGAAGTAGTGGAGCTGGAATTTGAATGAGTCTAGGTTAGCCTGGCCTAAAGCCTGTGTATTACACCTGTATCTGGGAGCAAGGGACAGAGGGGTTTGAATAGTAGAAAGTGTTATCAGGTAGATGCACTGTTGGCATTGAAAGGGGAATTTGGGAGGAGGGGCTGTTTGGGGCGGAGGGTAGAATATGAGTTTTGGTTGAGATTAAAGTGATGGCTAAACATTTGCATGGATGATTGGCAATATGGACTAGCACTTGGATAATAGGACAATATGGGAATATTGAATTGTTGGTTATTCCTGTGTTGGTAAACAGAAAACCAAAAGACCCGGGTCTGAGCCCTGGGAGCCACAGAAGAATCTAAAAACGAGGCAATTGGGATGCAGGGAGGAAGATTCCAGAAGAAAAAAATATTTAATATCAAATCATTCTAGACCTCACTGGCAACCCCTTCCCCAGTCCCATTTAGGACCTTGAACCTCACCACCCCCTAGGTGGGGGAAAGGCCTGAGCCTCCCAATCTAGGTCTTGCTGGGATCGCATCTTAACAACCAGTGGAGAGGGCATGGTGGCAGTGGAGAAGATGGAAAAAGAGCAGGGTCCCAGAGCCTGAGCCATGAGGGCAGGAGGACCAAGCATGACTTCCTGAGGACTAGAGTGAGCACACCTGGCCTGCTGTGCTCCAAGTCCTATGCAAGACACTTGACTGTGTTCTTTTAATTCTCACAATAACCCATTTAAATCTCACTACAATTGCCATTTCGCAGATAAGGAAAACAAAGTTCTAGAGGTCAATTGGCAGAGTAGAGAGTTGAACTAGGTTTATCTGGCCTCAGTGCCCAGGCTTTTTCTACTCAGCTAGGTGGGAAGTTTGATTGTTATCAGTCAGTGAAAGCCTTCACCCAGCTCAGGAAAGGTTTGTTCACAGGAAAGATACCTGAAGCCTGGAGCGGGGAAGTGAATGCTTTGTGAAACTTCACGTCCAAGATAAAATAGAAGCCAGTGCTCTGGTGCCCTCAGACCCGTGGTGCTATCAGCTGGAGTCGGTTCCAAAGACCTCCCAGCTCTGACAGTCCCCAATGCCCTGTCTTTTCCCCTCAGATGCTCACATATATTCTGAGCTTCCTGCCTCTGTCAGATCAGAAAGAGGCCTCCCTCGTGAGTTGGGCTTGGTACCGTGCTGCCCAGAATGCCCTTCGGGAGGTAAGACACCCACCCTCCCCCGTCCCACCCTCGGGTGTTTCTCACTTCAGCTTACTTGTGGCCCTGCTCATATGTCTCCATCCATCCATCCATCCATCCATCCATCCATCCATCCATCCATATATGCTCATATATGCACATGTATACATACATTCATACGTACTTGGCTCTCGGTACAGTGCTAGGGCTACACAGATGAATAAGACACAGTTCCCTAAGGAGCTCACAATCCAGTGAAGGAGAAAGACAAGTAATATGAATGATCATGCTATTGTGTGCTCAGTGCTATGACACTGGGAAGAAACAGTTTGAAGGGGACGGCCGGGCACAGTGGCTCACGCCTATAATCCCAGCACTTTGGGAGGCCAAGGCACATGGATCACCTGAGGTCAGGAGTTTGAGACCAGCCTGACCAATATGGTGAAACGCCGTCTCTACTAAAATTACAAAAATTAGCTGGGCGTGGTGGCATGGCGTGCGCCTGTAGTTCCAGCTACTCAGGAGGCTGAGGCAGGAGAATCACTTGAACCCGGGAGGCAGAGATTGCAGTGAGCCGAGATCACGCCACTGTACCCTAGCCTGGGCAAGAGAATGAGACTCTGCCTCAGAAAAAAAGGGTTTGATGGAACATGAAGAAGGACATCCAGAGGAGACTGGCAGCATCAGGGAAGGCTTTCTGAAGGAACAGGGTGAGAAGAAAGGTTGAGCTCTGTGATCAATAATAGCACAAGTGAAGGCACCATGGTGTGGAATAGTTCTGGAAACAATCGCACAAATTCCGTGTGGCTGGAACTGAGTGAGACATGGCAGGAGACGAGGCTAGAATGGGGTCAGGCTGCAAGCTGGCAGATGTGCCAGGCAGCAGAGTTTGGCTTTCTCCTGGTGACCATCAAGGAGCCCGTTAGGCAGGCAAGTGACACAGCGTGATTTGTATTAGAACTCTGCAGTGCAGAATGGACTGGGAGAGTGAGACAGCATAGGGAGGAGGCCAGCCAGGAGGTGAATGCAGACATCTGGGCTAGTTTAAAAGGCAGGCAGTGATGGCTCATTGTTTTAATTTTGATTTGTTTATTAGTGAGGTTGCACTGTTTTTCTCATTAGCTCACCCTTCATATTTCCCCCTTTTGTTTATTCATGTTCTGTATCCATTTAACTATTAAGGTCTTAGTATTTTTCTGTTCCATTTGTATGGACTTTTCCTTTTTTCTTTTCTTTCTTTTTTTTTTTTTTTTTTTTTTGGAGATAGATCTCGCTCTGTTGCCCAGGCTGGAGTGCAGTGGCACTATCTTGGCTCACTGCAGGCTCTGCCTCCTGGGTTCAAGCAGTTCTCCTGCCTCAGCCTCCCAAGTAACTGGGATTACAGACACCTGCCACCATGCCCAGCTAATTTTTTTTTTTGAGATGGAGTCTTGCTCTGTCACCCAGGCTGGGGTGCAGTGGCGCAATCTCAGCTCACTGCAACCTCCGCCTCAGCAATTCTCCTGCCTCAGCCTCCCAAGTAGCTGGGATTACAGGTGCTCGCCACCATGCCTGGCTAATTTTTGTATTTTCAGTAGAGACGGGGTTTCACCATGTTGGCCAGGCTGGTCTCAAACTCCTGACTTCAAATGATCTGCCCGCCTTGGCCTCCTAAAGTGCTGAGATTACAGGCATGAGCCACCATGCCTGGCCTGAAATATATTCTTAGTATGTTTGCCTTTTAATTTGATTTGTAGATATGTGCTTTTATTTATGAGATACGGAAATTAAATTTTTTAGTATTTTTTATATATATATATATTTAGTGTGTATGTGTGTGTATGTATATACATATATATGTATATACTTTTTTTTTCCGAGACAAGAGTCTCACTCTGTCGCCCAGGCTGGAGTACAGTGGCACCATCTCAGCTCGCTGAAACCTTTGCTTCCCAGGTTCAAGCGATTCTCATGCCTTAGCCTTTCAAGTAGCTGGGATTACAGGTGTGTGCCACCACACCCAGCTAATTTTTGTATTTTAGTAGAGATGGGGTGTCGCCATGTTGGCAAGGCTGGTCTCGAACTCCAGACCTCAAGTGATCTGCACCCCCTTGGCCTCCCGTAGTGCTGGGATTACAGGCGTGAGCCACTGTGCCTGGCTTCTTTTTTTATTTGTATTTATTTATTCTTTGAGATGGAGTCTCGCTCCGTTGCCAGGGTGGAGTACAGTGGCGTGATCTCAGCTCACTGCAACCTCCGCCTTCTGGGTTCAGGCGATTCTCCTGCCTCAGCCTTCCGAGTAGCTGGGACTACAGGCGCCCGCCACCGCGCTCGGCTAATTTTGTCTATTTTTAGTAGAGACGGGGTTTCACCATGGTCTTGATCTCCTGACCTTGTGATCCGCCCGCCTCGGCCTCCCAAAGTGCTGGGATTACAGGCGTGAGCCACCGTGCCCGGCCCCAGCTAATTTTTATATTTTTAGTACAGATGGAGTTTCACCATGTTGGCCAGGATGGTCTGGATCTCTTGACCTCATGATCCGCCCGTCTTGGCCTCCCAACATGCTGGGATTTCAGGTGTGAGCCACTGCACCTGGCCTCTTTTTTAAAATTTAATTTAATTTTTAATTTAATTTTTTAAAAATTTCATTTGTTTGTTTTTGAGAAAGGGTCTTGCTCTATTGCCAAGGCTAGAGTGCAGCGCGCCATCACAGCTCACTGCAGCCTCAACCTCACCAGGCTCAGGTGATCCTTCCACCTCAGCCTCCTGAGTAGCTAGGACTACAGATGCATGTCACCACGCCCGGCTAATTTTTACATTCTTAGCAGAGACGAGATTTCACCATGTTGCCCAGGCTCATCTCAGACTCCTGGGCTCAAGAGATCTGCCCACCTTAGCTTCCCACAGTGCTGGGATTACAGGCAGGAGCCACCATGCCTGGCCCAGAAGTTAAATTTCTCTGTTGTTGATTCTGAACATCCTTTTCTTTTTTACTTCTTCCATTGCTTTCTAAACTTAATGATTCCTTGTCCTGTTATACTGTTCTTCTGTTTTTCTTAAATAGACTCTATTACTTAGAGCGGTTTTAGGTTTACAGCAAAACTGTCTCTTCTGCTTTCTGGTTTGAATTTTTGTGTTAATGTTTTTATTAGTAAAATTTATTTAGATTTATGTTATGAGGTAAGAAGCTAAACTGATTAATTTTCAAAGAGCCCAAACACCATTTACATCTAATCTTCTCCTTCTCTGGTTGGAATCCTCTATCCCATATTAAATATGGGTATATAAGTAGATTCTGTTTATACAGTGTCATTGATCTCATTGTCCAAAGGAATTTGATTTTGGACATGTTAAAAGTTTGAAGTGTGAGGATCTAGATGTTGAGATCCACTTGGTAGTTGCATTTCTGAGTGAGGAATTCAAGAGAAATGTCTGGGTAATAAATATAGATTTGGGTGTCATTAAAGAATGGGTGGCAGTTGAAGCCACAGATCTGAGTAACTTCCCCCAGAGAGAACATGCAGAGCCGCAGAAGTGCAGGCCACAGAGAAGCCCCAGGGGAGGACACAAGTTCAAGGGCACAGAAAGGAGGAGACACCCAAAGAGGGGAATGAGGAGATCCCAGAGAGAGGAGGGCACAGACATCAAAGGCAGGAGAGTATTTAAAGGATTGAATGAGGCCAGATGTGATGGCTCACGCCTGTAGTCCCAACTCCTCAGGAGGCTGAGGCAGGAGAATCTCTTGAAACAGGGAGGCGGAGGTTGCAGTGATTCAAGATCTAGCCACTGTACTCCAGCCTGGGCGACAGAGCGAGATTCAGTCTCAAAAAAATAAATACATAAATAAAGGGTTGAATGGATGATTAACAACGTCAGATCCCACAAAAAGCCCAGCAAAATGAAGAACAAATAGTGTCCATGAGATTTGTTATCCAAGGAGGCCACCAATGGCTTCAGCGGTATTTGGCATCTGAAGAAAAAGCCAGGTGGATTGAGGAGTGAATGAGAGAAGTAGGAAGTGTAGAGCGTGACCTCGTTGGCAAGAAATTTCTCCATGGAAAGAAGGAAATAAATAGTGCAGGCCAGGCACAGTGGCTCACACCTGTAATCTTAGAACTTTAGGAGGCCAAGACAAGTGCATCACCTGAGGTCAGGAGTTTGAGACCAGCCTGGACAACATGGCAAAACCCCCTCTACTAAAAATACAAAAATTAGCCAGGCATGGTGGTGGGTGCCTATAATCCCAACTACTCTGGAGGCTGAGGCAGGAGAATCACTTGAACCCAGGGGTGGAGGTTGCAGTGAGCCGAGATTGCTCCACTTCACTCCAGCCTGGGTGACAGAAAGAGACTCCTTCTCAAAAAAAAAAAAGAAAAAGAAAAAGAAATAGGGCAGAAATGAGAAGTTTAGATGGATTTGACAAAAGGATTCTCTTCTGGAGAAATCTGAAATGTGTTTGGATTTATCAGGGAGACTGGGCGCAGTGGCTCACACCTGTAATCCCAGTACTTTGGGAGGCTGAGGCTGGTGGATCACTTGAGGCCAGGAGTTCAAGACCAGTCTGGCCAACAAGTTGAAACCCCGTCTCTACTAAAAATACAAAAATTAGCCAGGCGCAGTGGTGCGTACCTGTAATCCCAGCTACTCGGGAGACTGAGGCATGAGAATCTCTTGAACCTGGGAAGCAGAGGTTTCAGCGAGCAGAGATCACACCACCACATTCCAACCTGGGTGACAGAGCAAGACCCTGTCTATAAATAAATAAAGCTTCAGGGTGGTCCGGTGCAGTGGCACAAACCTGTAATCCCAGCACTTTGGGAGGCCAAGGCGGGTAGATCACTTGAGGTCAGGAGTTTGAGACCACCCTGGCCAACATGGTGAAACCCCATCTCTACTAAAAATATAAAAATTAGCTGGGCATGGTGGTGCATGCCTGTAATCACAGCTCTTCGGGAGGCTGAGGCAGGAGAATCGCTTGAACCTGGGAGGCGGGGGTTGCAGTGAACTGAGATTGTGTCACTGCACTCCAGCCTGGGCAACAC